TTTCGAAGCAACAATCCGACTAAGTCCCGTTCTTAAGGTCCACTCAAAGGAACCTTTCAAAAAAGTAAGCGAAAAGTCTTAACATGGCCAAGTGCCACTTTTGTCGCCTTTTATGCTTATTTGACCACCATTGAAATGCCACACATACATCGACTCCTGTCCTGGCCATGCTAACAGCCCTCTATTCATGCGAACGTCGGGTCATTCATTCAAATTTGGCTGCCTTTTGTATTGGCCGTCAGCTCCCCCAACGAAGCTCGAGTTTTACAGTCACTAATCGCGCACTTTCTTGAAACTTGCTGTCCCTTTTTTATGGTCTGGTATTCCCAGAGCTGCCCACATAAATTTCATCTCGACTCACATGTGATCGGACACAGTTTTCCCACAGTTGCTGGATGTGGGTTGCGTGCGGTTGCTGGCAAATCAAAAGGATGTTATTGCTGGCCGGCTTGATCCTTGGGCGCTGGCTTTGTATAATTTCCATTTAATAGTTAAACCAACACCTCATCCAAGATGTACCAAGTAAATACCAGAGCGAAACCAAAACGGCCAAGCACTAAGAACTGACGAAGATGAATACGCAAGTTTTCGACACATGGCTGGGGAGAGAGAGAAAGGATGATGTAAGGGGCGATTTGCATAAGAGCCAAGGAGCAACAGCTAAAAGTGTCCTGGCCCCGGGGGCAGCACTAACACTAGCATCACTCAGATAAAGAGCAAGGCTTGTAGCTTGACTTGCTGACAGGCTGCTCGTCCTGCTGCTGGCCAGAATCCTTGACCTAACGAACCATAAATTATATGCTTTTGATGTTTTGTTGCTGTTGGGCACAAAAATGTTTATTTAGTTTAGTTTGGGCACGCCAAAAAGTGGCAGGACATGTAAATTACGAGCCAGGAAACGGACATTGTAAAGTTTATCGCTCAAATTCGATTATAATGAAACCCCAAAGACAACAAAAGACAACTTGATGATGTATGCTAACGCCGACTTCGATGGCCTGTCTGGGACCAAGAACAAGAACAAGCAAAAGCACAAGAAAACAATAGCGAACATCACTCGAAAACCTATGGGATTAAGGATATGATTGAACTGCCGCCAGGACGACAACTGGCTGCCAGAATTAATTGCGACTGCCTCCAGTGGCTGTAGTGTGAGAGCGAAGAAAAGGCAACAATTTGCATAAATTACGACGCAACCCAAAAACATATCGTCTAGGCCATAAATTTCAAGCCAGACACCGGACTTAAGTCATCAAGTTTAGCAGAACAACAAAATTACACAAGAAAAATCAGAAAAATAGTCCTAAAAAGAAGGTTGACCAAATGTGACCAGTAAAAAATACACCAAACAATATACAAATCCTAAATGCTAACTGGGTAACTCAATTGGCCAAACTGACAGGCGGCTTTAAAATTTATTACTCAAACCACAAACTTTTTTAGCGAAGCATCATCAGCTTTCCAATTCGCATGAATTATGTGGCAAATGCTTCGTTATTAATTAGACTCATTTACCACTCGAATCAACTTATTGTTGTTGTTGTTGCCATGAAGACACCTTAATTAAATGTCTGTCTATGGTTTAAGGTCTCTAGCCCTCTGTCCTCTGGTGGATGTTTGTTCGTTAGTGGACTCAGTCGAACCGCAAAGTCAAGTTTTTTGGCCAACTTTGAAGGGTTGTAGTTGTTGTTTTGGCACAAAATTTGCATATGAGTTTTTACCCCGATACGTCTATGAAGATCCCTGGAGATTTGTCATTTTAATTTCCATAAATCAATTTGTTAATTAGTGGGCTCACTTTTGGTTTGGTTGCTGGGGACGATTAGCAATGCGCTACGTTCTTTGAGTTTGGGGCTAATCAGGATTTGTTGAAGAGAACACGATTTGCCCGAACATTAATTAAAGTACATTCGGCGTTCTCCAATTCTGGCTGTAAGCGGAAAACCTGTAACAAAATATAAATAACAAAAACTATTTACAATAAAAGACTTTAAAGCTTAATAGTTTGCCAAGAGCCACTTTTAAGCCCTGCCCAAAGCCAATCAGAGAATACTCAAGTGAAATATTCTCTGTGCAGGTCATAAAAGCAAACAACAAATAAAATAAACGCTGCTGTGAAAATAATCAAAGCTTTAATCCTATTTATTTGGTATCGAAGATACGTTACTTCAATTTATTTTGATAACCATTATAAAAAGTGCATAAACGTAAATAACTAAAAATAAATATTTTATATACATATATGTGTATATATATATCTGCAACAATAGCAGGACAAGGGCTTTAAAATGCTTTCAGCTTTGCCTTAAAGCTTCTCGCCACTTGAGCCACTTTTATGAGCGCAGCCAGGCGCACCGAATCCGAAGCCAAACCCAAACCCAAACCCCAATCCCGATCCAAAACCAACTGCAACTCAAACTCAACCCAAAATGGTAGCCATTTAATGTCACTTGGGCGCGCAGCCATCAAGCATATTACGAGGACGAAGCGCTGCTGTTGTTGTCTGTCGATGAGTCGGTTTGTGTGTGTGTGTCTTGTTTCACTGTTGTTGAAAAATAACAACAATTTACACAACAAATGCAACCGAGCAGCAGCAGCCACATGTGAAGTGTGCCGTTGACTTTGACTTGAGGAGTGAACCTGGCAACCAGCAAAGTGCATTCATTTTACATCGTAGCAACAATTGTTGCCAGCTGTAAATAAACATGGCTTTAGCAAGTGCCACGCCCACATGTGTTGCTACCATCCGATATTTGAAGAGCAGGAGCAACAACAGCAGTAACAGCAGCAGCAGCTACAGCGAAATGATAATAAGGTATATAATTTAATATCAATCTGACAGCCAGAAGGCAACAAAGTGCGCCAGGCGACGACGACGACGTCGACGCTGCTTTTTATGCTACACTTTTTACTTTTCCATATGTACACTATAAAACATGAGAGTCTGCTCAAGTGGCAAATTCGTTAGATGACTGTGTATGGAACAGGTAAACAATAAAGAAAAACTTATAACATTATGTTAAAACTAGCTCAGAGAGTGCTTAATGTTATTTTGCTTACAATTCCCAAACAGTTTAAACGTCAGCTTACGATTCTCGCTAAGCTTAAACTGTTTGAGAATTATAAAAAAAGAAAATTCAGCTATTTAAGCCTTAACACTAAGCTTGCCGCTAAGTGTTTTTTTTTTTGTTGCAACTTGTTTTTAAAGGTTAAATTTATTAAATTTAATTGTAGTGTATTCCAAGTACGACAATCTACCTAAATGTCTGCTTGCACTTGTATTCCACTTGCCACCCTCTCCACATGCCCGGGCGCACTTCACTTTTATGCATTGTCTGTATGTCTGACGTTCTATCGAGGTACTCAAATGGTATATTCTTTCCTTCGGTGTGTTTTTCCTTTTTTCTTTATTTTTTTCTTTTTGTTAACTAAATAAATGCAGTTTGTTTGCCTGCACTTGTTGTTTGTGTTGAGCCAAGCAGAACATTTCCATTTGAATGTTCTTTTAAGCGAAAACAATTTCTTCTTTGTTTTGCTTTTGAGCATTTCTGCATTCCTTTTCGCCAGCTATTTGTTCGCTCCCGATTGCCCATGCCCCGCATCTCAGGTAAGTGATACGAGATGCCAAAGACAATGGGACTTCAGCTGAAATCTGTTTGTAGGGTTCAGCAAATTAGATCATGGGTTTTGATTTGGATTTTGAGGTTGGCGCTAGCTCATCATATTATGTCATTATCAGGACCTGCCCAGCTGGCTGCCCTTTGTTGACCCTTTTCCCGCCATCTGCCCAGAGTCATTTTCTTTTGTTGTACCTTTAGAGTTTTTAAGCCATTTCGCCGCATTTTATTTTACATTTTTTATGCAGCAACTATAAAAAAAGTTTTTACATTTTTTTACGGCACTTATTTTCTTTTGGCCACGAAAAGAAAAGAAAAGAAAATTCGCCAAACGACACCGAGTGCATTATGTGTGGTCTTACGGCGAGAAGTTGATTATGTTGATTTGTGGAATTGATTTGGTTAGGGCGTGGTGTGTACTAGCGTGGAGATTCTGAAGAGCTGAAGAAGAAGAAGACGCGAACACTCCTTTTTAATATAAAATATTCGTGGCATGTGACGTGGAAATGCTGCCTGATTGTTTTGCGGTTGTAAAAATATGTAAAATAGTTAAAATTGAATGAGCTGCTGAAGGTGCCTAACGAGGGGAAGCAAGTTATAAAAATGAAAAATGATTTTTAACCTGACTATATATTCAAATATTATTGCAAACATATAAAGCATCCTGCTTAACGAAATAAGCAGGGATTTCCTTTTTAGGAAAGATGAGTATGCCAAGCACAAACAGCTATAGACGCCTTTCCTTACACACACCAAGCCCAACCAAGAACAAGAAAAGCATGTGTGAAAAATTCCTGCAAGCATAGAGCAACTAAGCCCAGACCTCGCATATTTCTCGCATAGTCGAGCCAGAAAACAAAGCTCAGGAATTTGGTCAAGGACACCAAAAAATCAAAGGAAACTCGAGGAGTAGCAGAAGCAAGAGCAAATTCGAATAAAGTCAAAACACAGCTCGAATATTCGAATACCGAATGAACAACTACCCCTCGCGACTCGCACGAGACTGGGGAACAGTTCGAAGTACGTAAGAAGCAACGTAATGCATAACGTATAACGTTAGCGTAACATGCCACAAGTGTGAACCAGAGAAATCGTTCACAGCACGTGATGCAGTCGACTAGTCAAAAAGGAGCTGACATTACGACACATCGAGAAGTCAGAGGAGAGAGCGTAACCAGAGAGTGAGAGAACGTGAATGAGAGAGAAAGAGTCCTTACGGAAGTGCACGTGAGAATTGAGCAGATTCTCTCTTTCTTTCTCTCTCACTCTGTGTGTGTGCTGTTCTTGGGGGGTGGGCGCCTGGCATTGGATTAGGGCTGTGGTGGTGGGTTGTCGTCCCTTTGTCGGCTTGTTGCTGCCGCCGTCACGAGTGTCAGCAGCATTTCCCGGGTATAAATACGCTTGCCATGCCGCCGTGCGAGTCAGTCGAACGATAGCTCGCCCCGAGTGCGTTACAGCAATCCGAACACACGCACAGGATCCAATTGAGAAGTGCCAGAAAGTAGAGCCAAGTGAAATTTGACGTAATCCATTGCCATGGCTATTCCCTTCTACGAAGATGAGGCTGACGCGACAGCATCAGCGGCGGCTGCGACTACCTTAGAGTCCAGCCAAATTACCGACGGCGATCAGGTGGATGGTCCTGCCTATGCCAGCGATGCAGGCTTCGATCAGGTGGACTACGAGGCGCCATCGGGAGCAACAAGTAACAGTCAAACGACAACCACTGAAACTGTGACGCCACCTAGCACGGAGGAGCAGTTGCTGGCCTGGAAAATGCTCGCTCTGGCCATGTGCAAAGTGCTCAAGCAATTCTATCTGCAGCACAAGAAGCAACAACAGGCGGGCAAGTCCACCAAACTGACAGCCACCGTGCAGATTCAGCCGCAAGCGCAGTAAAACTAACTTGATGAAAACAACCGACACAATCGACAACAACAACTACAAATTCAAGGCCCCAACACGAGGCTGATGGCTCCTAAGCGCAACTTGTGATTACTTTTCGTTGGTGAGAACTAGCGCTCCCTAAACTAACTAGGGAGAGAGAAATGGAGAGAAATTTATGTGAGCGATTTGCAAAAATCTCAAAAAATAAGAAGAGAAAAAACAAAAAAAAAAACAATTTGATCATTTTGAGTAACATTTAAATTCTGGACAAGTTAATCTGAGTTTTGCCGTCGCTGAGCAGAAAATTCTAGTGAAGGCTGATTAAAATGTTTGGATAAGCGCAAATGTGATAAATAATTTTGCTAAAAATATTTTAAGTGCTCATTTTGGTAAAGTTATTTAAGCAGCTAAATTAATACTAATTAATATGATAAATATTTTCCTAGTTTAGTTTAGTTTAATTAAGTTTTTTCAAGATGGTCGGCCCAGTGCAAGCAGCAGCTAGTTTTCATACAGATACGAACCTAAATTTAAGTCCAATTTTCTACTAATACTAGAACTAATAATTATGTATTTAGATTAGTTTAAGTTCATAATACCAACTTTTACAAAACTCTCTTGGTGTCTATTTACAAATACGACGACGAAACAAATCGCATCGATTTCACTTTTAGGTAGTTGGCTTCTTAACTTAGCAAATAGTTATGAAAATATTATAAAAAATATATATTTATAAATACATATATTTTTGTATAATTATTTTGCTGTTAAATGTAAGTTGGTGTTCGTGTATGTATGTGTGTGTCAATTTCAGTTCTAGGTCCATTAACATAAGCAATATTCCTAAGACTACGAGTATTTCGAACAATGAACCAAAAACATTTTCGTGTCACGAGCATGAACATAGTACAAGAATACAATAGAAATCTTTACAGAGCAAACAGCCAAATGGTTGATTATAACCTAAAGTAATTTAAATTTAAGCATAAAATAATTATATATAAATATGCAAAATAAAACTTGAATTAATTAAAATGAAATGATAAATTGCATTTTATTCGATGGGTAAACGAGCTAGTCAAACCATTTTTAACGATATTATCGTATTGCTTGAGATCGAATCAAGAATCATATTTAGATTGCGTGATAAATGTATCCTTTATGCCGGCAGTACTCAAATGAATTCATGGTTCCTTAACTCTGTCATCAATGCTAATAACTCGCACAGTAATTCATATTGACAATGGTCTGCCACCTCCAGTGCGGTATTCAAATTGCATAGACCAATAAGTAGATGGCATAGATCAAAGCCGGCCGCCAGACAATGGCCACTTCTATGGCATAGCCCGCTCCACTCCACCCGCTCACTCAAATCGCACAATCGATGCGGAAAAATGTCGCGTGGCGGCTGATAAAAGGCCCTCGGGCAGGACGAGCGAGGAAAAATAAAATAATAATATAAAGTCCCGCTTCTGTGGAATACTTTGTGTGTAATGCAAATACTGGAGAGAAGCTAAGCCGATTTTTTAATTTCGTAAAACCCAACAGATTTTAAACTCCATCAATCAATAGCATCAATAATAATATCAATCATGGCAGGCAAAAAACAAATAGCATTTGCTAAATCAACTGCCCCGAAGATGATTTTAAAAAATTTGATATTTTTACACAGATAAGCAATGGGGATTATGGGTTTGAAGAGGCCTGTCCTATAAGAAAAAAAATCAAAAACGAAGCCAAGAAATGCGCATTAGAGGCCGTTAACTGTCTGAATTCAATCAAATGTTCCCCCGAGATTTTGCACTTGTGTTTGCATTTGCACACACATGATACCAGAGCTCATATGCTACGATGATGATGATGATAATCATGACGATGGGTGGCAACCCTTTTTCCATGCGACGGGTGAAAGTGGTGAAAGCAGGGACCTGGCCTTAAGTGCATGCGTGAGTGTACTGTGTGTGCCCAGCTGGGGGTAAAGTGACCCATAAATAAACAGTTTAGATTTTTTACATGACCAACTTTTTCTTTTTTTTTTTAGACATATTCTACCTCTAACATTACATAGGGTGTTTTATACGAGTACGACCTAGGCTCAAGTGTCAATAGTAATCACATGTTGTTTCTATAAGAACGAGTATCTCATCGCCGAGCAGTATGCTGCTTGTATGCCAATTCATATTTTTACGTAGCTTGTGCAAATATTTGTATTTATACCATCATCTAGTTTAACTAGATTGAGCCTATGTCCATAATTCGAGCATCAAAGTTTCAAAAATGCGAACGTAATTGAAAGTACACCAACTAAGGCAAAAGCAAATCAATAGCTGAGGAGGGAGAAAACATATTTACAAATACCGGCATTCGCAATACTTGAGTGAAGCTTTGGCGCAACATTATTAAAAATAAATTAGAGTACCTTTTCTATAAGTATTTTATATAATACTGCAAACAAACGAAGTGAAGTGGTTTCATGCTGCCTGCTACGTGCTCAAGTGCATTTCATTTCGTCCTGCGGTCATCATTAGTGTGCTTTATTAAGTGGAAGCAATTTTTACTGTTGCCTGCACTTTGGGGCGATACTTTAAGCCGGCGATAGCTAAGCAATTCTACTTTTCCAGGACCCTATAAAACACAGTCGCAGCTGCTAAAGCTCAAGTGCAGTTAAATTAGCTCAAGGTCGTGTCTCAGTTTCAACAATTGCATATGTTGCAACTGCAACTCTGAGCACGTTTCCAATTCAGCAGAACCTGATTTAGGGTCGAGCAACAAGACAAATCCTTTGTTTGTTGCCATTTTAAACAGAGTAGGGCCATATATTTGGGTCAAGGTGAAGCTGCAGTCGTGCTGCTCGGATTAGGATTGTTTTTAAGAGCTGCGTGTATGCACTTTGAGCCATCTCAATGTATGTCAAATGTCTATTTTGGTATTTCTAGCTAAATGAAGTTTGTTTATGTGTGTTGTACAAAACGCTCAAACCGAATCCTTTGCTTTTCGAGTATACAGTTGCATTACATGGGCCAAGCGGTTGTATGTTTTAAATTAATAAATGTTGTTTTTTTTTTAATAAACTAAGATACTAGGTTTCTAATAATTGAAGATAATTATTTTATTCGACAGATACCGAATGAATCTATCGCTAAGTCATTTCTGATTCGTTTTAAAAACATTGTGAAGCTCGAAATAGTCCTAGGAGTTCAATAAATATAAGAGAATAAAAATATGCTGCGAGATGACAATTAAATTTAACAACCAAATGTGGCCAGAGGCAAACAAAATCTTCGCACTCCCAGTTACAGCCCGGGGACATGGTAAAGCTGCCATTGTTGCAACTTGCAACGTCCTCATCAGCACAATTAATAGAAATGCAACTGCGGCAGATCAAAGAGCCGTCCACGTGGGGAGACAAAAGCGCGAAAAAACAAAAGACGGCGACTGTCAAAAGGCAACAGCAAGTTGGCAGGGCCGTGTCAAAGGTAATGACAGAAGCCAAACAATTGAAAAGTTGTAACAAACGAGAACGAGGCAACAAAAAAGAAAAAAAAACAAAGCGACTTCGTTAGCGCAAACAATTGTCAAAGCAACAGAGAAAAATCACATGAAAAATAACACAAACAAAAAATAAACATAAAAAAATAAGTTGAGTGCAATTTTCAAGCAATATATTTTCCGCTACTGAGCCAAAACTTTTCACGCGCTTTTTGATGTTAGGGCCAAAGTGCAGAAATAACAAGCCAAAATTGCGTAGAAATATTTAATGAACCGACGAGCCGGACCAAAGAGTGAAGCACACTAAAGCTAAACGTCGGGCAAGAGCCAAGAAATGATAACCGCACCTTCAACGCAATAAAATCTAATTTAATAATCAAATAAATTGCCGGCCAGCCGAGCTGCCCCAAGGGAAGCTCAGAAAATGCCAAATGCAAAGCAGATAAAAAAAGTCTAAAACGAAAGAAAAAAACACGAAAAAGTTCTGAACTTGAATATACCCCGTAGTTGGAATGATGCCAGTTCTTTCACGCATCCATAAATACCCTCTATGCCCAGCTGCAGTGTATTAAAAGAAGTTGCCATGTTATTCGCATAACCTGCGCGATTTGACAAATTTACGAGTGAGTTTAGCGGACTAATCATTAGAGATCTGCCCCGAACCAACCCCAGAAGCGCTTCTGGCAATAATAAACATAAAGCGACTGAGCCAGGGATGGGGCATATTAAGGATATGCAGGACGTTGACAACGCCAACGCATTTTTATGTTTAAGGCTTTCAGATTTGGCTGCTTACACCGGGGCCAAAATCTCTGGCACATAATTTTAATGTTTATCGTCTTTTATTGTCAAACAAATTATTTTTGATACTGCGCTGCAGGCGAGCCACGAATAGAGACCACGGGGGCATTACGAATATTGATGCCAAGGTGCCAGACGCAGCTCCTGAGAAATGAGTCAGCTGCCAAGGGTAGCAACAAATGAGGGGTGGGGGTAGAGCACACACGACGCGTCGTGTAATTTGATTAGCATGCGGCAGGCAAAGGAAGCAACTGAACAAAAAAAAGAAAAACATAATAATCATAAAGAAAAGTCTGATATTATCAGTGGAAGTCAAAACAATTTAATGCATGAATAAAAAATAATTTCTTTCTTATGGCACAGACAATTTACGAGAGGTGCGTATATCTTTAGATATATATATATCCTGAAATCCTGTTGCGAATGTAGCTTTATTAGATTTTGGTTTTGCCAAACGAAGTTCATGTGTGCATTTGGCTGCCAAGCAACCACACTGGAGCTGCCTTTCAAGTGAACATATTTGATTATTTACTTAAGAACATTAAAGGAAACGAAACGAAACCAACTGACATTTTGCATATGAATTAAAACGCAATAATTTAGCTGCGTACATTTTTTTCTCCTCTTTTTTTCCAGTTTCCCTCAACTTGGGGGAAACTTGGTTGGCAGCACTCAGGGGAACTTCTTCTCCAGAGATGTTGCTTGTTTGCTTTGCTAATGCTTAGAAGGCTTCCTTAATTTCCAAACAGTCAACGTCATCGTCTGCCAACGCTTTTAATAAGCTACTTAAATATTTATGATGTTTTTCTAATGATTTTCGATGGATTCCGAGCAGGTTCAGCAAGCTGATAAGTGCCTTTTGCTATTCGCAGATTCGCATATTCGCATACTCAATATTGGCAGCACTTTAAACTTTAAAGCCAAATGGATTTAGTTATGGAAGTTGAATGCAATTTTCACACATTCTCGTGCGAGTTGGGCTCATAAATTAGTTAGTCGGCCTCAAATCCGACTTAATACGCTTCACTTAATTGTTTACAGCATTAATGCAAAAACCTCAGCCAATCCAATAAACAGCCCACCAACAGCAGAGCGACAGCCAGCACATCAATATTGCACACAACATACACAACAAACACACACACACACAAGAGGACACAACAAGAGGCAAACCAAAATCGCGACACGTCGGCTGACCAACTCTCATCGTCGTCGGTGGCAAACATTAATCAGCGAATTATCAATGCAAATAATTTTCAGCACGCCTGAATGCGATATCAATCAACGCGCATCGCTTCCGCTGCACTG